AGAAATCCTCATCTGCCCTCGTGCAAAGGGGTAGGGAAAGGATCATGTCAGCATCGAAAGGCAGAAAGGTTGCCCGGATAACATCTTCTCGCCAGGTCGCCGTGGTGTTGTCGATAAGTTCCGCAACCATAGAAGGCGGGGTATCCGTTAACGAGATGATCGGCCGCATCGGCCCAATCCTGGGAAGCCAGTTTGTATTCCATATGTTTGTGGTTGCCCCATTCCCTATTCTCCTGATGATGCCCTGCTTCAAGATCTCTCTTCCATCCAAAATCGCTCGCCAAATCTGCGAAGGACTATTGCCCAACTCTGCTTCCATGAAAGTCGTATTTGGATAGGAACTGGCTTCATGTTGATCTGGCCGCTGAATGGGATAGGGAGTTCTTCGCTTGCTGTGCGGCCTAGCGGCCTATATTCTAAGTGGACGGGGGAATAGAAGCCCAACACGTTGGTTGACCTATATATATTTCGACAAGACGCGAGTTCCGCAAAAAACAAAAAAGACAAGATGCGAGTTCTCAAAAAACAAAATCGACAAGACACGAGAAACTTTGAATGTATTCACTTTGAGTGTATAGAGAAAATGTTTCTCATGTAAATGAAAAAATGTATACAAAAATATATGTAAAAAGTTGATCGAGTATTAAAAAATGTTAATCAAACATTAAAAAAATCAATTATTTGAAAAATGTTAATCAGGTATTTTTAAAATGTTCAATGTGTATAAAAATGTTTGTCAAGGATACAAAAAATATATATTAAAAATACAATATGTATGAATAAATATTGATCATATATATAATGTAAAACATGTATAAGATGTTTCTAGTGTGTACAAAAAATATACAATGTATATTAAAACAAAACTAGTCATCTGAAAACATATGTTTAAAAAATGATCTATTTTAAGGAAGTTGACATGTGTTGAACACCAAACAACCCGATGAAAATCGATAAAGAAACAAAGAAACACAATAAAACCTAGAAAAGGAAAATGAAGACGTAGAAAGCCAATGCAGAACAATGAAAAATTAGTGAAAACGAAGAAATAAATAAAGAAAAATGAAGAAAACAGATGAAAACCAAGAAAGAAACAAAGAAAAAAAAGAAAGAAGGAAACAGAGAAAGAAAAAAAAGGCAAAAATATGTGAAAGACCGAGAAAAAAATAAAGAAAATCAAGAAAGCTATGAAAATCATGAAAGAAACGAAGAAAACCAATAAAAGAACAAAAGGGAAAATAAGAGAAAATATATTAAAAACCAGAGCAAACAACAACACAGTGACAAGAACGAGTTGTGCTAAAGGAGGTGGCCGGCGGCGAGGAGTCGACTCCTTTTTTTTAGTGGAAGGAACAGGCTTCATGTTGATCTGGGCACTGAACTTGGCCCAGTATAGTACCCAGACATTGTGTGTATGGGGAGTTCTTTTTTTCTCAGGGTAGTGTATGGGGAGTTCTTCGCTTGCTGTGCGGCCAGCGGCATATATTCTTAGTGAACGAGGGAATAAAGGCCCAACACGTTCGACGACCAATATATTTCGACAACCCCTCAAAAATAAACCAATATATTTCGACAACTTGAGACTTACCGAAATCACTAATTAATTAAGGAGTACACTTTGCAAATATCACTCCCACTTCCAAGTGATGTACTGCATGCAAATATCACTCTCACAAGGTTTACTTTTTTATAGATTCTATTCAAAACGTTTATCTAGTAAACCATGCGTCCAAATCATAAACCGCTTTCACCGTTGGATTTCTCGCGTCAAGATTTTCAGAACTAGATCTCATGTTATATGGTTTGGTGATTTTTTTTCAAGAGAAAAACAGAAAAACCAAGCCGGAAGCATGATTTCCCCCCACCTTTTCTCATTTCCAAGAGGCACAACTATGCCTCCGTGAGAAGCACACTTTATGCTCTTGCAGAAGAAAAAATGCATTCATTTTTTCTTTTCCATGAGCCACGGCTATGTCTCTCACGGAAGCAAAATTATGCCTCCACAAGAAGCAAATATGTGTCTTTCGTGGAAAAAATGTGTATTTTTTTCTCGTTTCGAGAGGCACACTCGCGAAGCAAATCTGTGTCTCCACGAGAAGCAAATATGTGCCTCTCGCGGAAAAAAAGCTTTTTTGTCTTTTTTGAGAGACACAACTCCTCTCGCGGAAGCAAACCTGTGTCTCCATGAGAAGCAAATTTCTGCCTCTTGCAGAAGAAAAACATTTTTCTGGGAGGCACGGCTCCTCTGGTGGAAGCAAACATGTGCTTCTATGAGAAGCAAATCTATGGCTCTCACGGAAGCAAAAAAACACACATTATTTTGTGTAAGGAATTCCCAAAAAAATTGTCCAAAACCTAGGGAAAATCGGGGAAAAACCAAAAATCCTAAAAAAATCATCTAAAAACGAAAATGGATATAGAAAAATAAGAAAAAACAAAATCCTGAGGGAGCGCTCAGCACGCGACACGTGGCGGCAGCTAAAAGCGCCAAATGACGCGTTCTCAAACCACCCAAGAATGACCCTTGAGGGTTCCCGCAAGGGGTACCCCTCAATTAGTTGCTCTTGCGAGCTCCACTATAAAAAAACAAAACACAAGACGTGAGTTCTCAAAAAAAGAACCGACAAGATTCAAGAAACTTTGAATGTTTACATTGATTGTATTTTTTGTTGGTAGCTTACCCACTTGGTTAATGTTTTCATTTGAGTGTATACAGAAAATGTTTCTCATGTATACAAAAAATGTATACCAAAGTACACCATTTATATGAAAAGTATTTAAAAAATATTAATCAAGCATTTAAAATATGTGAATCAAGATTTGAAAAATGTTAAATGGGAAATATATATATATATAAATAATTATCATGTATGTGAAAAATATATACAAAAAATGTGTGTATGAAAAAATATTGATCTTGTATTTAAAAATGGGAAAAATGTATAAAAAATGTTTCTGATGTATACAATAAAGGTACAATCTGCTTTTAAATAAAAGTAGACCTCACAAAACATATATTTAAAATAAATTAACTACATATTTTTAAAAAGTTGGCATGTGTTGAACTTGAACATAAAAGAAACCATTGAAAATCGATGAAGAAACAAAGAAAAACCAAAAGGCCAATAAAAGAAACCAAAAAACAAGAAAAGAAAGTGCAAACTGACGAAAAACCAATGCAAAAGAATGGAACAATAGTGAAAGCCGAGAAAAAACAAACAAAAATAAAGTAAACTGATGAAAACCCAAAAAAGAGACAAAGAAAAATGAAGAGAAAGGAAGACAAGAAAATAAAGTGAAAACCAAGAAAGGAACAAAGAAAACTAAGGAAAAGAAAAGAAAAAAACCAGTGAAACCCATGAAAGAAACGAAGAAAATTGATGAAAAACAAAAGAAAAAAGTCCAAAACATAACGAACAACAAACACGAGCGAACTACAATGAACTTTTTTAAGGCAAACAATGAACTACAGCGATACAAATGAGCTACGCTAAAGGATCGACCCATATGCGCGCACCCTTGAGGCGAGAAAAATGCTATACCCGTTATAAGCGAGATATACCATTCATGATGCTGGAATAACCCCTCAAGAAAAAGTGAATAGGGAAATAGAGAGACCTCTTTTTTAGGCACATAGAAAGACCTCCTAGTCATCATGCTCATATCCCAAACATGGGCCGGCTCAACGATGCAAGCGACTCGCTCGCTAGGTCGCCTTCGCCCTTTTTTTGCTCGGTAAACCGGTCGACTGGTTTGACCCTTGATCAGTTGACCGGTTAACTAGGCGAGTGTTGACCATTGACTTTCTTTAAAAGTTCACACAATTGCCAAAACATGAATTTGGAAAAAGTTCACGTAATTGCAAAAAAGGTGAATTTGTAAAATATTCATGGAATATAAAAACCGTTCGTGAATTCAAACAAAGTTCACGAATTTGGAAAATGTTCATGACTTTGAGAAAATTTTGCGAACTTGGAAGTGTTCAAGAACTTTGAAAAGATCAGTTGATTCAAAAAGTATGACGAATTTGAAAAGAATCACAAATACGAATATTTGTTGCTAACTTGAAAAAAATCATTAATATGTTTTTTTAGAATTTTAAAAAATTCGAATTAATTTTAAAAAGAAAAAAGAAAATAAATAACCGAGTGAAAAAACAGTAAAAACAAATAGGAAAACAGGAGCAAAAACAACATTAAATTTAACGCTATAATTTTTGCTCCCGCCGTAATCGCCAGATTGATTAAATTTATGGTCAAATTTAAATCTCAAAAAGCGCGGTCGCACTATATTATGGAATGGAGGGAGTATTAGATTATGGCTGTGTGACTCTGCTCGATTGTTCAGCAAAAGAAACGGTTATGGCCCATTGCTTGCGTGTTGCCTGATTCAAATAAAAGGTATACCATTGCATATGCAACCTAAAATAGTATCTTCGCCCCCCACTCCCCCGCCCTCACCCTTGGTCCAACTAAGACGCGCCAGTTCAGGAATCAGCCCGTATACTTAGTAAAGCTCCGTACGTCTAGCAAAACCCATCCTAGACACCCTTGCCGGGAAAAAATCCCAATCAGCTGACTCAAAAGACAGATCCTATAGGAAACGGCTATGGCCCGTTCCTTGCGTGTTGCCTGATGCAAATAAAAGGTATACCATTGCATATGCAACCAAAAATAGTAATGTGCTACTACAGTAAATTTTATGCAGCAATAACAAGTCCAACTCGTGCACACTTGACACTTGGGTGGAATAATTATTCTAACGCGCATTCCTTGCGTGTTGCGTGATGCAAATAAGGTATTGCTTGTCCTCGATTGCAACCCCAAAAGATAACAGTGACGATACTGCAGTAAATTATCTGCACCATAAATATATTATAATAATTCCTTACTTGAAGTTAGAGCAACCCAAGATACGAAATACTCGTGCACACATGCTTTCGGTGGTCTGTGTATATAAGCAGCCTGGCTGCCGTTGAAAACGCAGCTACACACACCGCCATGGATCCCGAGCTTCTCATGGAGGTAAACAACGGCGACCACAAGCACCTGAGGCGCCTTCTTGGCGGGGAAGATCAAGTTGCATCTCCAGCCACCGCCGCCGCCGCCGCCATCGTCGTCAACATCGACCGCCACGCTATAGTGAGCTCCGCAATCCTGCAAGGCGTCACCCCGGACGGCGACTCTGCGCTCCACGCTGTAGCAGCCTCCGGGGACGGCGACAGGTACCTGGAGAGCGCCAAGGTGATCTACGGCAAGGCCGGGCACCTCCTGGGCGCGCGCAACACGGGGGGGAGCACGCCGCTGCACCGCGCCGCCAGGGCGGGCAACTCCCAGATGCTCTCCCTCCTCATCGAGCTGGCCAGAGCGGACGGGACGAGCAGGGTGGAGACGATCCTGAGAACGCAGAACGGGGTCGGGGAGACGACGTTGCACGAGGCGATCCGCGGAGACCACGCCAGCGCGGTGGACGTGCTGATGACAGCGGACCCGTGCCTGGCCCGTCACCATCTTGTCAACGCCGCCTCGCCGCTGTTCCTCGCCGTCTCGCTGTGCCGGTACGGCATGGCGCAGAAGCTGTACGAGAGAGACAACCAGTTGTCCTATTCTGGACCTGGGGGACAAAATGCTTTGCATGCTGCGGTTCTTCGGAATAAAGGTACGTACATGATATGAAATTGCGCGGCTTGCTACACATACATACAGTACACTATGACAGAGTGCTCGTATGGATCTAAATTGCACGTGACATATTTGCTCTTTTTTTTTGGAACGGAGACGCTAGAAGCGTCCGGCTTTAAATTAATAAAGCCCACAAAGCACCAGGTTCAAACGGTTACAACTTAGCGAACTCAATAGAGAACGTTCAGGTCCACGACCGGCATGAAACGGAACATAAGGTTCATCGCAAAGGCAATATTACAGCCGGCCAAACCAACCAGCGCAGAAGACCTAGCTAACATAAATTCCCACAAAAGAACTCCAAAAGCTTCACCGACTCGGCGGATCTTGTCTTGTCGCCGCCTAGATAGTCTTGATGCGCGTCATGGCCTCAGACATACGTTCAGCATCGCGCTCCTTCCCCAGTGGAGTCCACATCTGCAGAAATAGATGGCATTTGAAAATCACATCTGCAGGATGGCTAGGGAATTTTTTTCGATCGTAATATTATTGCGCGTCGTCCAAATAGCCCAGAGCAGCGCCCTACGCAACGCCAAGCGATTCTGCTAGTAGTCCCTTTCGTGGACTTGAGAATGGAAATTAAGTCATTCCCCGAGGCAGGGTTCCAGTTCGTGTGGAAGGCTTCCCGGACAGCACTCCACGCGAACCTGGCCAGGTGACATCTAAAAAATACGTGGTTAGCATCTTCACCTAGGCTGCATACCGTGCAGGTACCATCAGCCGGGCCGTTACGTTTGGCCACGTTATCCGAAGTAGGCAGCCTATTCCTAAGCATTTGCCACATGAAGATTTTAATCTTCAGGGGCAGGCCTGCCTTCCACAGCCCCTTAGCTATATCACGCGCTGGCCCTTCAGTTAGCTTGTTATAAAGGGACTTCATCGTGAATTTCCTCGAAGTTGTCAAGCTCCACTCTACCGAGTCAACCCCGTCCCTAGGCGGTTGGCACCTATTTGCTGAACCAGCCCGGCCCAAGTGATATATTTGCTCTTGATCTAATTATAATTGAGTTTGAGATGTTAGAGCATCTACAGTCGAAGACATCAAATCCAGCCCCTCAAACACACGCGGATGCGCTTGCGCATCCGCGGGCATTCCTCATTTTGGTGCGTCCGCCACCCGTGTATCTTAAATCCGACCGCTCATATCCATGCAACACATGCACGTATTAAAATAAACTAAAGTTGATCAACAAACTAGCATCAAATCTAATTAATTCGAGCATAATTCTAACATAAAATATCGATGGACAACCAAAAGATGCAGTTTCAATCGGACAGTACACTACAAACCATTAAGAATTTAATTAAATGAAGAAAGGGCGGAGGAAATCACCATTTCCTCGCCGCCCCTTTCCCCTTAGGGTCGGCGATGCTTCTTTGGCCTCTGATGTAGGCGTCGGCCGCCGGAGGGTCGTCGTCGAAGCTTGATCCGTCGTCGGAGCCGGCCCATGATGGGAGGTACGTGAGCACCCGTTGTCCTAACTGGTGCAGAAGGCGCCGGTTAGGAGCTCCCATTAACCATAGTCTTGCACTCTTGCTCGCCTTTGCCTTGTAAGTTTTGTTCCGGGCTGGTCAGGGGCAATAGGATGATCGAAATGGGCCAGGTTTCTTTCCAGCCCAGGCTAAACCGAACGGCCCATTCTCGGCCTGACTTCAAACCTGGCCCGGCCGATCTAGCCGGAATGGGCCGCGTTCTGGGCCATTACTGCTGCAACTGAATGGCCCTGAGTGAGTAGAGAATGTGTGAGACAGCTGGGTCGTTAGAAACCTCTGCTGCGCCGATCACAGGTGTATGATTTTCGATCCATCCATCTTCTTTTTTTGTGTGTGGACTTCGCATTTTGATTCCATATATAATGGGCGTCAACATGATATTCACCATGGCTGGAGCACGGCCACCGGTCACAGCAGTAGTCGCAAACTAAGGAAATGTAGTTTTAAGCGTAATTTTTAGGGTTTATGGTCTTTGATTCACAAATGGATAAATGGCACAACTGGCGCCTGGTACAACAATTTTTTTTTGCGAAACAAATTGAGTGGTAGGTGCAAATAAATTAGATATCAAAAATTGCTCAAACGATTCACTAATACATTCATTATGTGATGACTCGGTGTCATGACGTGTGATGCTCATTGTCGCCTCCTCAGACCATAGCCCACCACATGTCATAAACTTCAAGTATATAAAAAAAGATTGCAAAAGCAAAAAAAGAAATGCCGAAAGCTATGCTGCTGGTCGAGAACCTGTGGCTGCTGGGCGATATTCCGCGTCAGCATTGGCAACAAAATGAAAAGAGGTAACAAACGGCCCATAACTCCAACTCTAACGTGACTGCTCAATCAGAAGGTCTGGGGGTTAGTACCACCTCGTGTACCTAGTGTGCGTTGAAGCCAACACATTTGATAAATATATAGACTATTCTCAAAAAAAATAGACGGACAAGCCACCGCATTATGATGATCGGCTTCAGCCCATGTAAATTGTTGGGCGGAAAGCTAAATTCCCATACTGTAAAAAACGGAAGACCGTAAATACGAAAAGGAACGGGATAAAAATGATAAAGGCGCCAGAACGGGACAGGATTTTCCCATCCCGTTTTCACCCCTATACCCAGCAACTCTTCGGCTCCTATCCCCACCGCATCATCAAGGTCCGTGCTGGCCGTCTCACTCCCGCTCCATCTTGCTTCCCTCCTCTGCCCACCTGCCAATCTAACGTCTCGAGTGGCAGTTGAGTTAGGAGATTTTGCTGCAATCCGAGGCGCGCGGCAAGGTTGGAGGCCGAGGGTTCCCGTTAGGGTTTGGTCTCGTCATGGAATGCAAGCAAGGGGTGTCACCCATGCAGTACTGGTGCTGATTTCGTGGATTTGTGTCGTGATATGGGTCAATGACATGGGCGAATTGTGGGTGACTCTGTGCTGATTTCGGATATCTCAGTTTGAGAATGTTAACCATGAAATTATCACCTACATTAATAATTATTACTCTCACTAACCATTTTCCTGAATGTATTCCCCAATAATGTAAATATTGATAGGATTGTAATTTGAGCTTCTCTCTCTTAGACTCATATCATTCCTAATCTACATGCCTAAAAAAATATGCCTTATATCGGCTGTAACCATACAGAAAATCTTTCAGCTTAATACAAAATACGCAGCTATTGTATTCGAGAAAAGATATGCCATAATATAGGGTGTACACAGGGTGAATTATAAGAAGGGATGCATTATAAGTTCCCCATCTAGTAAATTAAGACTTTCTCCTTGGATGGAATCATATAAAAAAACAAATTCACATTTCAACAAACATAAAAATGAATATTGTAAATGAGTACATAACATATGTTCGTACATGATAGATTAATAGCAAGAATATTGGTTGTGCATGAGTACATGGTTTATGTTTGAACATCATATATTATTAGCATTATATATTAGCTAGATTCGACATGAGTGTACATAAGTTCTACCATTCATATATTATTACATAACAATGATATAGCACATATAATCCATACATAAGCATATCAAAAAGGTACAGGCATACAAACACCCCTATCCCAGTATTTGATATAGAAAATAAAAAAGAACAAGAAATTCGACTTGGTGGATCCTTGAATTTTTATGATTTTTCTGTATTTAAAAGGACAAAAAAAAATACTTTGGTTAGTTCAAATGCTTAAATTTTAATTGTCCCTTATTTCTTCATATATTTTGTGAGATTTTTGCTATACATTTCCAAGCTAAAATGTATTAGTTTTATACAGCCAATATACGATGGGAAGTTTCACCCAATATATGGTCCTGACTCCTGAGTTTGTATCTAATTAATATCAAATTCTCTGAATCCAATCTAGTATTTATGATAAATTTACATCTGTCCCAGATCCATCCTTGGCTACGGATGATCTGGCCGTTAAATATCCAACCATGTTTCACCAAATACAAACGTTATCCATATTAATAGTAGAAATCAATTTCACCAACTACTGCACAATAATGGAAATCTCTCTTACCGTACATATCCATTGAACGGTTGTAGTTTTGTACTTTCATTTTCTCCACTATGTTGGGACAAAAGGCTATGTTGTTGCTGTTTTGGTATTTTCTCAATAGTATTATTTAACACAAACATGGCTAACTTGCAGATATGGTGGAACTATTAATAGGATGGAACACGCAGCTTACTAAACAAAGAGATCAATATGGAAACACTCCTCTACATTTTGCGCTATCAGTTTTGGAACGTCACCCACATGGAATGCTTCCCATATATGCTGTGCCAGTTATAAAAGGAAAAGATATTACAACACTTCTGAATATAGAAGAACCTCCGTTGGAGCTCACCAGGCAACTATTAGAAGCAGATGCACTTTCAGCATATGAACCAGATAAAAAAGGGTCATTCCCCATACATATCGCTGCATCGTCAAATAGACTTTCAGCCATCATTATTTTAGTCACAAGGTATCCCGGTTGTGCCAGTTTGCGCGATGCTGATGGAAGAACTTTTCTTCATATTGCCGTCAAGAAGAAGAGATTTGATATAGTTTGGTACGTCTGCCAGACACCTATGTTCTCGTCAATTTTGAACACACAAGACAATGAAGGCAACTCTGCTCTACACCTAGCTGTGGAGGCCGGGAATTTGTGGACTTTTGCTTGTTTGTTTGTGAACAAACACATAGATTTAAATTTACTAAACAACAAGCAGCATACTCCGCGGGAAGTTTCAATTAGCTCAATTCCAACAGGGCTATATTGTTTTCTGGTAATATTTCCTCCTCTTTGTTCTAACATATTTCATAGACTCTGAGCAAAAAATAGGAAAAGTAATAATGCTTTATCCTGTTTGTAGAATTCACGAATTCTAATACAAGAAGCACTAATGTCAGCCAATGCTACTTGTGATATTTGTCGCCGGGATGACGATGTGGAAGAAGAACATAATCCCAAATTACAAGCAGCGAATGAGGAAAAAGGATCTAAAGTAGTATCAGATTCAACCCAATTTCTTAGCTTTGGCATAGTGCTTGTTATAACGATGGCATTTGGTGCTACTTTTGCATTGCCTGGGGGTTACAAAGCTGATGAAGGAACACCGGCTCTTGCTCGCACAAAACAGTTTCAAGGCTTCTTGATGGCAAATGCTTTAGCATTTTTGTGCTCAACAGTAGCCATCATAAGTCTTTCATTCGCTGGAACACCTACAGTTGAGTTGCTGATGCGCTACACACAGTATAATTTATCCATATTTTTGGCTTTGAATGCATTAGGATCCTTGGTCGTGGCTTTCATAATTGCTCTATATGTCATGATTACACCAGTTGCTGCTATAACTTTTATTGCGGTTATTGTGGTGATTGTTTCAACAACAATCCTCTATTCCGCCACACTAGTTGAGAAACTTTCTATACTTTTATTAGTGTTATGTTTTAGAATAGGAATTCTGCCAGTACTAAGATCTAGTATCTCTAAATTAATTTTATTTACTTGTTGGCCACTCATAGTAATCATAGTCTGGCAAGAAACATGCATGGCGACACATGTGATTTAAGCAAAAGGCATCAGAGGGGTATTATGAAATGGACATGTTTCTTGCCAATTTGTTTTAAAGTTTCTGTGTGACAACTGTTGTAATTGTAACCATGTGAATATTTTTTAAACATGATACCTATTACTTATTTGGTTATATCCATGCAGAAAAAGAAAGACTGCTCTGCCCAGAAGCAAATGCGTGTGTATGGCAGGATGTACTCTGTTAGCCATTCATAGAACTTTCTATGCTAAATCATCCTTGTTTGGATTGTAGTTACGAAAGAGAAACTAAATATTTTTATCTCTCTAGCTGAAAGAACGTAGGCCGAGTCTCACAAAGCACAGCTTTATCGGGAGATTTGTGTGTGGATTTTCCAAAATGGGTTTCTACGGTTCAAGCCAAATGTTAAGTTGATTCTTCAACCCAATAGTCCCAAAAAAATAAAAGAGAACAAAAATGTAGTCACTTAAATTTTATCCCACTTACAAAAAAATCCCATATGAACCTATTTCTTAATTTACACACTTGCATGCATCAAATCATATGTGAATCCAGAAATAGAGCTGCTCGAGCAGAGAAATCTAAAGAATGATCTGAATAAACTGAAGTACATTTTTTTATGATAGATTTGCAAATGCTGTTGGAATTATTCGGCTTGGCCCATTTAAATACACGATAATTGCCAAAAATCTCAAATAGCCATTCATGCATGCAAACCCTATTCGGCGCTTGCAGCGCCGGTTAAAGGCAATTTTCCTAACCAGTGCCTGCAGTCGCGCTAACTAGGCTGGCCCATTTATCTGTAATTTTTTTTCTTCTGTTTCCAAACACTTTTTATGATAGATTTTGCAAACACTGTTGGAATTATTCGGCTTGGCCCATTTAAATTCCTAATGATTGCAAAAAATCTCAAAGAGCCATTCATGCAGGCAGACCCTATTCGGTGCTTGCAGCGCCGGTTAAAGGCAATTTTCCTTTTTTTTTTTTGAGACAATCACGCGAAGCTTTATTTAACTTGTGCCAATGTTCAAAGGTACAAAAGAAAGATTACCAGGATTGCCTAACCACACATGGCGGCCAACCCCCAAATTCAAACTATGCTTCGCTAGATTGTGAGCCTCGAAATTCGAGCTCCTAAACTCATGCACAAAGGTACATGAAATAAAAGTGGAACTATGATCTATGATTTCATGCAGAATAGCTCCATAGATAGCCGGTGTTTTGTTCTTGATGTCGTCCAGTACAACTTTGCAGTCAGAAGCGACATGTATTCTGCAGCTATTAAGATCATCGGCAAGCGCCAAAGCCTCTCTGACTGCTAATGCTTCGAGCGTTGGTGGATCATTGGTTCCCTTGATAACCAGAGCCGAAGCACCTTGAAAGATGCCAGCTTGATCTCGACAGATAGCAGCAGCAACTCCTCGGTTGGTTGCGGTCGCCGCATCCACATTGATCTTCGCATACGTGTCCGGTGGTGCAATCCAGTGGCTAGGTCTCGTCGCTTGATGTTGTTCCTGACCACTGCCCACAGCAGCGATAGTTTGCAGGTCCACTATGTATGACTTGATGAACTGGTTAGTTCCTTCAGGACTCTGAAAAACCCCTTCATATATCGCCTTACGTCGTGCTCTCCATGTGGCCCAAAGGGTGACCACCAGCAGAACGAACCTCTCGTGCGTTAATTGATCATGCATTTCCAGCAGCCAGTGTTTCGCGTTTGGATTCGTGTTCATACTCAACAGTTGCACCAATTCATCCTCAGAGAGCGCCCACACACACCGTGACATCGTGCACTCCAAGAGTGCATGTCTCCATGAATCTTCCCTCCCGCATAGCAAACACCGATGAGTTTCTGACATGTGCCGGTGATGCAATACGTCCATCGTCGGCATAGTGTGCCTCGCCAGCCGCCACAGGAAGACCCTTAGTTTGGATGGCACCTTTATATTCCACAATGTCGACCAGTCCCTTCGGTTAGCATTCAGTAAGGAGCCGCTCGGGGTCCGCTCCAGCCAGTCCCCTCGTTCCTCCTTCTTGGACATTACCATCCGGTAAGCTGAACTAACAGAAAATCTGCCGCTCCTCTCGGCGGACCAAGCCCAAAAATCCTCTATCGCCCTAGTGCATATCGGTATGGACAAGATGGCTTCAGCGTCGAAACGCACGAAGGTGTTACGGATCAGTTCCTCTTTCCACGATGCTGTGGTCGAATCAATAAGTTCCGCTACCATCACAGGCGGGTTAGGAGTGAGGGCAGTGATCGGTCTGAAAGGTCCAGACCTCTGTAACCAGTTATCTCTCCAAATGTTTGTTGTTTGCCCATTGCCAATACGCTTAATAATGCCTTGCTTCAGAATGTCTCTCCCATCAAGAACAGCCCTCCAAATCTGAGAGGGGTGATGGCCTAGTTCTGCCTCCAGGAAGCTTGTGTTCGGGAAATATGCAGCCTTCAATATCCTTGCACTAAGTGAGTTTGAAACTTCCAGTACTCTCCATGCCTGGCGAGCCAACAAAGCAAGGTTAAAAATCTCCATATCCCTAAACCCCATTCCTCCAAGGTACTTTGGTTTCGTCATGACGTCCCAAGATACCCATGCGGGCTTCCTCCTTCCTTGTTTGCTCCCCCACCAGAACTGCCTTATAATGGATTCAATATTTTCACAAAGGCCTCTGGGTAACCGAAAGCACGCCATTGAAAATACTGGGATTGCTTGAGCCACTGATTTGATGAGCACTTCTTTCCCTCCAACTGAAAGAAGTTTTTCCATCCATCCTCTCACCTTCTCCCAAATTCTATCTCTCAAATACTTGAAAGTACCCTTTTTAGATTGGCCAACTTCCGTGGGCATCCCCAAGTATCTTTCACTCAAAGATTCATTTGTTACATTCAAAATCTGTTTGACCTCATTTCTCACCTCATTTGGGCACTTCTTGCTGAAAAAGATTGAAGATTTTGCATTGTTTGTCTTCTGACCCGACGCTTTACAGTATATCTCCAATAAAGCTGAGACCCTCGCAGCCCCCTCAACACTTGACTTGAAAAACAACAGGCTATCGTCAGCAAAAAGGAGATGGTTGACCGCCGGAGCTGTCGGAGCCACCTTGACCCCTTGAAGACTAGACGAAAGAGAACTGGATCTTAAAAGGCACGAAAGGCCCTCTGCTGCAATCAAGAAAAGATAGGGGGAGATTGGATCTCCCTGACGGATGCCTCTGGTAGGAGTAAAATGTTCAAGCTTCTCTCCATTGAAGAGGACTGGAAATGATACAGACTGAACCATATCCATCACTATATTAACCCAGGAGTGTGCAAATCCCAGCTTCTCCATCATGGCTCGAAGATATGGCCACTCCAGTCTGTCATAAGCTTTCATCATGTCTAATTTTAGTGCACAATAACTATTGGTTTTTGCTCTGCTTCTTTTCATGAAGTGCAAACACTCATATGCACATATGATATTATCTGTAATCAACCTTCCTGGAACGAAAGCTGACTGTTCCTGAGATATGATGTCTGGGAGGATCACTTTGAGCCTGTTTGCAACAACCTTGGAGGCAATTTTGTAGATTACATTGCACAAACTTATAGGCCGGAACTGAGAAAGTAAGGTAGGATTCATTACCTTCGGGATGAGAACCAAAACGGTGTCATTCATAGATGCAGCACTTTCCTCCCCTCTGATAATCCTCAGGACAGCCTTGGTAACTTCATCCCCACATATATCCCAATGCCTTTGATAGAAATGGGCGGGGAACCCATCCGGTCCCGGTGCCTTTGTCGGGAACATTTGAAAGAGGGCTGTCTTGACCTCTTCATTTGTGTAAGGTGCCAGAAGAGCGGCATTCATCTGCTCTGTAACCTTCACCGGTACCTTATCAAGTACCTCCTCTATGCCACTCACCCCTTCTGATAGATACAAGTTCTTATAGAAGTCTGTCACCATGACTTTGAGTTCATTCTGGTTCTCTGTCATCACACCCAGGGATGTTGCCAAGGCCTTAATCATATTTCTCCTCCTCCTCTCACTTGCCCGAAGGTGAAAGAAGCGTGTATTTCTGTCTCCCGCCGACAGCCACTCCAGCCTCGCGCGTTGCCTCCACATTATTTCCTCCCTGTGATATAACTCAATCAAATTCTCATTGATCTTCAATTCAATACGTGACGGTGCTGTTCTAGCCGGATCGCTCCGCAGGCGTTCTAGTTCCAACTTTAAACTTTTTATTTCCTTCCGTACTGAGCCGAAAGTATGCTTATTCCAGGTTCCTAGCTGTACCGAGACTCTTTTCAACTTTGCTCTTAGATCTGCCATGCACTCCACCGGATCTCCTGCCCAGCTGGCAGCAATTGTGTCTCTCCACGTCTCGTGAGTTTCCCACATAAGTTCATACTTAAAGCCCTTCTTGTGCTTAGGTGCCCTCCCTTGAAACTCTAGCAAGATGGGACAGTGATCCGAGGTCGCTGCTGTTAGATGTTTAACTTGTGCATTTGGGAAACGTTCGCTCCATTCTGCTGAAGCCAGAGAACGGTCCAAGCGTACCCGTGTGTAACTGCCACCAGTAACCTTTTTTTCAAAGGTCCAGAATTGGCCTAGATAGCCTATGTCCATCAGCATGCATACGTCTATGGCATCCCTGAACCCCTGGATTTGGGCATTGCTCCTCTCCCCAATGCCTTGTTGCTCCTCCGGACGTAGTACCTCGTTAAAATCCCCTATACAGACCCATGGGAGGTTACTCAAAGTACTGATCCCCTTCAAAATATCCCATGATTGATATCTCAAATGAGTCTGCGCCTCTCCGTAAAAAAGTGTCAACCTCCACGGGTCACAACCCGGTTCCTCAACTGAACAATCAATATGATACACAGAGAAGCCCAAAATCTCATTTTTTATTGGATTGTTCCAAAACAAACCTAGTCCTCCACTTCTACCCTGACTACTGACCGCATATCCATTATCATATCCAATACTTCCAGCTAGTTTTTCTACCCTCGATCTATCAATCTGGGTCTCAACAAT